ATCATCAACAGAGTGGCTTTGGAAGAGAGACTTCTCTCAATGGCTGAGGTTGACACCAAAGATGGGCAACTTGAAGAAGAATTCCTGGTCACAAGAACGGTTGGGAACAAGGAGGTGTGGGAGAACTTGAGCGCCTGGGAAGCCTCGATACGAGCTGAGTATCAGCAACTGGTGGTGCAAAAGGAGGCGGTGAAACAAATGCCCAAAAGCGAGCTCTACGAGATTGCAGAGCGCAAGCAGCTTCCGATAGAACTTCTACCAGGAAAAATGGTGCACACACGGAAGGCTGGAAGTGGAGCTTATCGCTCACGAGCAGTTGTATGTGGCAACTATCAAGAGGCCAGTGCAGAAGAGCGCAACGCTGGAGGTGCTGACGGAAACCAAATTCGGATGATGCTCCGAACAGCTGCGCTCCAACGATGGGCTTTGGCTGGCACAGACGTGCGAGTTGCGTTCTTGAACGCTCCAAAGCGCAACATCAACAAGTTGACCGCCATGGAGGTCCCCTACGTGTTCAAAAAACTTGGCCTGGCAGCAGCCAGCGATGTGTGGCTGATAGAAAAGGCTCTCTACGGCCTTGTTGCATCACCCAGAGACTGGTGCATTTACCGGGACGAGGTCCTGCCAACTTTGAGATGGACACGAAGTGCTGATGGCGAGGACTATGTTGGTCGTTTTGTGCACTCTGGAGATGACAACATGTGGAGGCTGATGGAGGTGAACACCAAAACGGGCCAAGAAACATGGGCTGGGCTGATGTCGGTCTATGTTGACGACTTGTTGGTGTCAGCGGAGCCAGAAACAATTCCGGCAGCGATGGATGCGGTGGCCAAGACATGGACCATCTCTGCAGTTGAATGGGCCTCAGCCGACAAGCCGCTGCGGTATTGTGGTTTCGAAGTTCTAGCTGATGAACGTGGTGATGGATTTCAAGTTTCCCAAAAGATGTTTGAGCAAGAACTCCTGAGTCGATGGGCAGTTTCAGAATCTCTGGCCTACCCTGCGTTCAAGATCAACGAGGAGGACGAGTTGGTGACCTCTGAGATCAACCAGGCTGACATCAAGAGCGCACAAGCACTCACAGGAGCTCTTTTGTGGTTGTCTACGAGGACAAGACCTGACTTGGTGCATGGTGTATCAGCGATGTCACGCTTGGTGACCAAAAACCCCAAAAAATCTTTGGAGATTGGCCATACTCTCTTGAAATATCTTCATGGAAATCCTGGTGGAATTCACTTCCCAAATGGAGTAGCAAATGGTGAATGGGGAGCTCGAGGGCAACTCAAAGTGAGACGCCATTCCAAGTTGTTGGAAGTGTATGCGGACATCGCATATGCAGCGGGGTCAAACCACCGCAGTGTGCAGGGCCTAGTGATTTGCTATGCTGGAGTTCCTGTGGCATGGCAGTGCAATCAACAGCCATTTGTGACGCACTCAACAGCTGAAGCAGAACTGGTGTCTTATTGCGAAGCTCTTTTAGCAGGGCGTGCCTCAGAAGCTCTTCTATGTGCCATTTGGGGGGAGGATCTCAATGCCAACACATTTGAGCGAGTGATGTACGGCGACAACGCCGCAGCTATTGGCTTGGCGCATGGAGTTACGGCAGCTTCATGGCGCACCCGACATCTTCGAATCAGGTCGAGCATTCTCAAAGAGGCCCTACAAGAAAGTTCTGATGTTCCAGGTGGACAGTGGCAGCTGACTCATCTGAAGGGCACAGAATTGGTGGCCGATGGATGCACGAAGCCTTTGAATGGACAGGCCTTCTTCAGATTTTTGGAGGACTTGGGCCTGAAGCGAGGTGTCAAAGCCGAAGCTGGAGAGACGACATCGACTGGCGACGGAGCGATGATCGGTGGTGGTGGTTTTGCAGCCGTGAAGGCGCTGGTCATTGGAAGCACTTTGATGTCAGCAGCTCAAGGAGCATCAAATGAGGACAAGGGCGACATTGACTTCACGCCCTTCATGGTGACAGGGGCAGCGCTGATGGCCTTTGGGGCGATCTATGTTGGACAGCTGGTTCAACAAGTTTCAAGCTGCTGCCTTCGCAGGATCAAAGCCTTGGAAGAGGGTGAGCGACGTCCTGCTAATCAACAATGGGAAGAAGAAGAATCGTCAGAGGATGGCAGTTTCATAGTGATTCCTGGGGACGAAGTTTCGCAGGGAACTACAACAATGAGATTGACAAAACGGTCGGGCTCTTGCAGTGCAGTGCGCACTACATCTTTGGGTTTAACGACACAGTCGGGCTCGAGCAGTGCGGCGCGCACTACATCACAGAGTTTAACATCACGATCGGGCTCAAACACTGGGGGCAGATCTGGCGATGATGTGAGTTCTACATCATTGGGTATGCCTCAACGATCGGGCTTGCAGCAATGTGGCAAAAAATCTCTGAAGGCAAATCAATGCTCAGGGGGCGCGAACACTGCAGGTGGTGGAGGGCATAGAGATGATGGCTCACCTGGGGGTGAGTGCAGCTTGGGTGAACCTGCAGCTGCTGCCGCATCGAGCTCTTCAGCATCGGGCTCAGCACTTCTGAGAGGCAGTGAGGGCGTTCAAACTGAACATATCCCTGAAAATCCTTGGAACCGTTTTCAATTTGAAAACAAGGGAAGAGGCTGGTCTAAAAAGACCATGGCAAAGAAGTACAAAGATTTCAAGAAGGAAATGCCTTGAGCCTATCCAGAGTTCCAATTTTTGGTTTTGTCACATGAAGTTGGGTCAACGAAGATTCAACGGAGAACACCAATTTGGTGCGATCGCAAAGCGATAGGGGGGAGTCCGTGTAGATTCCAACCCTTTGTCAATTACTGAAGGCATTTTGTACCAAGTGAAAACAGGGCGGTTTAGCCGATGAGACCACATTACTAGTGATGGTTAGGGTTCAGGGTTACCTAAGTCTCTCACCAGCGATCCAAACACCGAATCCTCTCGAACGGTAAACAAAACTCTCTGGTTGTTTCAGTTCAACATCTTCAAAACAGCTAAAAAGTTAGTCATTGAATGCCCGCCCCCCTGTGTATGTTTAAATTCACAGCTCAAAATCCCCGCAAGTTTTCAATTCGAATGGTCGTCATCGTCTCCCCTCTACGGACTCGTGAAGCCCAAAATCGCTGGGATTTATGGCTGTTCAGTGTTCATTCCACGCAAGTTGCTGCTACAATAGCTGTTATTTTTTGTTACTCAACGGTTAAAAAATCAATCGTTTAATCGATTTGTTTCGTTGTTTAATCGTTGTTTTTTCGTTAAATAACAAAAAAAATAACTGATAAATAACAAAAAAAACTGCTAAATAAGAAAAAATAACCGTTAAATAACAAAAAATAACCGTTAAATAACAAAAAAAACTATTAAATAACTGTTAAATAACAAAAAAAACTATTAAATAACTGTTAAATAACAAAAAAAACTATTAAATAACTGTTAAATAACAAAAAAAACTATTAAATAACTGTTAAATAACAAAAAAACTATTAAATAACTGTTAAATAACAAAAAAAACTATTAAATAACTGTTAAATAACAAAAAAAACTATTAAATAACTGTTAAATAACAAAAAAAACTATTAAATAACTGTTAAATAACAAAAAAAACTATTAAATAACTGTTAAATAACAAAAAAACTATTAAATAACTGTTAAATAACAAAAAAACTATTAAATAACTGTTAAAGAACAAAAAAACTATTAAATAACTGTTAAATAACAAAAAAAACTATTAAATAACTGTTAAATAACAAAAAAAAACTATTAAATAACTGTTAAATAACAAGAAAAACTTTTAAATAACTGTTAAATAACAAGAAAAACTTTTAAATAACTGTTAAATAACAAAAAAACTATTCAATAACTGTTAAATAACAAAAAAAACTATTCAATAACTGTTAAATAACAAAAAAAACTATTCAATAACTGTTAAATAACAAAAAAAACTATTAAATAACTGTTACATAACAAAAAAAAACTATTAAATAACTGTTAAATAACAAAAAAAAACTATTCAATAACTGTTAAATAACAAAAAAAAACTATTAAATAACTGTTAAATAACAAAAAAACTATGAAATACCTGTTAAATAACAAAAAAAACTATGAAATACCTGTTAAATAACAGAAAAAACTATTAAATAACTGTTAAATAACAAAAAAACTATTAAATAACTGTTAAATAACAACAAAACTATTAAATAACTGTTAAATAACAAAAAAACTATTAAATAACTGTTAAATAACAAAAAAACTATTAAATAACTGTTAAATAACAAAAAAAACTATTAAATAACTGTTAAATAACAAAAAAAACTATTAAATAAGTGTTAAATAACAAAAAAAACTATTAAATAAGTGTTAAATAACAAAAAAAACTATTAAATAAGTGTTAAATAACAAAAAAAACTATTAAATAACTGTTAAATAACAAAAAAAACTATTAAATAACTGTTAAATAACAAAAAAAACTATTAAATAACTGTTAAATAACAAAAAAAACTATTAAATAACTGTTAAATAACAAAAAAAACTATTCAATAACTGTTAAATAACAAAAAAAATATTCAATAACTGTTAAATAACAAAAAAAACTATTAAATAACTGTTAAATAACAAAAAAAACTATTAAATAACTGTTAAATAACAAAAAAAAACTATTAAATAACTGTTAAATAACAAAAAAAACTATTAAATAACTGTTAAATAACAAAAAAACTATTAAATAACAATTTTCAAACAATAAAACAACCATCCGGATGCAGCCGGCAGAGCAGAGAAATCTATTCTTTTTAGAAGCTAGCCCAGAAGCTGGTAGAGCCACATGCTAATATATGTATATATATAGAATTGGATGATGGGAAAATTTACAGGAAAGCCCTATATTTGATGGTAAAAACCATGGTGTCCTGTAAATTTTCCCTTAAACCAATCCAGTGATATATGTATATATATATTATATATATATGATATTACTAGTATATGATATGTTTCAAGATATGTCATCTTCATCAAACCTCCCCCATGGTCATTTTTGGCACCGCTGAATCCCCCATGGTAAATCGATCGCCCGGCCTTTCGGACTCCAACAAATCCCCCGTGGCAGAATCGAAGGAGCGATAGACCTCCTCTTCCCACTTCTCCTTCTCCTGGAGACGGAGATGCGGAGTTCAGTGGGTGGCATGTTGAGGAAAAAGCATGAACTAAATTTATACATCGACCATAAACCATATAGTATCATATAGTTATATATTATAGTAATGTTGAGAAAAAAAAACCCTTGCAGATTTTGGCGGGTGACACGCTGAGAATGGCGGAGATTCATCACGTGGCAGAACGCGCACGGATCGAAACTTTCGAGTGGTCATGACTGAAAAATAAACAACAACTCTGGCGACACACGCATGAGGCATGGGCCCCCAAGGTGTGGATGCCTGTGTTCGAGGTGTTACACTCTAGAAATCTGAGCTATCCCAAAATGGATGTTCATGTCCCCCCATCAAACTCCTGGGCTACAATGGATTTGTTCCCAAATATGGCATCGCCATGAGTAAACAGCATCCACCCACTGGCTAAATGTCTCCAACGAGATTGGTGGATTTTTCACGGGGATGCCGTTGTTTCCGATAGCCATCCGCCCTGTCCACCCGGTCCTCTTGTTCCCACTTCTCAATGGTCTCCCGGTTCTGGGAGTCCAAACGCCACTGCCTGATCAAAATGCCGCTCCAATCTGAAGTAAGGGATTACCTTGAGGTGAACCAAACAGAACCAAACATATGTCGTCGTATTTCTGGTATTTTCATGTATTTTCTGGAAATTGAAGTCCAGGATCATTTTGTTTTCTCAAATCTCACTGGACGTGAGAAAATCTCCTGCTAAGATCCACAGCGATTTGGTCTCCAAAACCCAACCTTCACCTCGAACATCTGCGACACATCCTCTCACACCCCATGTCACACACATGAGCCTGTCTGAAAATTTAGAGGGACCCCAAAATTTGATGAATTTCACCATTTTCATCCATTAAGACTTAAAATATCTTAAAATGACCCATGTATCAATCGTTTGAGGAGACATCGAGCCAGCAAGGCCATCCCAAGTTTCCGACGCATGTTCACCTTGCTTCAACATTTCTTCTTTGAAGTCCTGACGACTCACCGATGCGACGACTCGCTGAGCTTGGAAGTCACCGTTGATGCTGCGAAAAAAAATTGTCCCCTGTCTGATGAAATATCACCATTCTGTTACTGATTTTTGCTGATCTCTACTGCTAGTAGTGCATATCTATATATATATATACATATGCATACAATATATGATAAATATATGTCTGCTCATTCTGATTGATCCACTAGACCCAACAGGATACCAATGAGCCCAGCGAAAGATCGGATTTCCTCACCATCCCCCAATTTAGAACCATTAAAAGGATAACCACATATATCATCTGCTTGGTGGTTGACCTACCCCTCTGAAAAATGATGGACTTCGTCAGTTGGGATGATGAAATTCCCAACTGAATGGAAAGTCATAAAAGCCATGTTCCAAACCACCAGTCATATAACTCCATATAAACATATATAAACCAGGTGGCACGGGTGATTGTTTCTACCCATCTGATCATAGATGTACTGTACATGGGCATACCCATCTTTATATAAGCAGATCTATATCCCCCCAACCCCATGTCAACCCATACCTATCACCTCGAAATCCCACTCAAACTCCATGCCCAGCCCATCCAAATCCCATTAATAAACCCATTACTTGGAGGATCATCCCGCTTCCTAGGGAACTTACTAACTAGGCTTATGAGCCACTTACTACCCTCTTGTCATTTGTTACATAGCTATTCAAAACGGCCATAGAAATAGTTGATTTACCTATCAAAAATGGTGATTTTCCCTAGTTTTTTGTATGTTTACCAGAGGGTAAGTGGTGCGATCCTCCAACCGCTACCCGGTACGCGCGCCGCGCCTTCCGCTTCTGCAGCCGCTCCGCCTCGCGCTGCTCCAAGGCGTCCAAGGCAGCTTGCCGTCGGACGCGGAGATCGGCCTGCGCAATTTTTTGTTGGGTCCTGGAGATCGTTTATGGTAGATCTATCCTGGTTGGTGGTTGACCTACCCCTCTGAAAAATATGAAAGTCAGTTGGGATGATGACATTCCCAACTGAATGGAAAAATAAAAGCCATGTTCCGAACCACCAACCAGTAATTATTTGGATTATAACTTTAACTGAAACAACTATGGTTTATAGCTATAATAGTTTATAACTGTAATTAATAACTATGGTTTATAACTGGAATGACTATGGCTTATAACTGTAATAACTATAGTTTTATTTATGGCAGATCTAACTATTAGGTGACTGTCCAATTGTTTGTTATTTTGAACTATGTTAGAGGTGCAGTGAAATGGAGGTAGCCCAAGTCACGATGATTGCTTCAATTCCAAAATGGTCATCCATGACTTGGATGATTTGGGGTACCCCTATTTTCGGGAAACCCTGATGGTTTTTCCTATTGGTTTATAACTATATATAATATATAACTATATGATACTATATGGTTTATGGTCGATGTATCTATATAGTTCATGCTTGAAAAAATAAATTTATAGTCCAAAAGGGTTGCTTGTTCATAATATGATTATAGAATTATAGACCAAAACCCCAGGTACCCAACATTCTTTCGCTGTTGCGTTGTGGCAAAAGGATGTTTTGACCCATCCCCACATGACTTGGCGCGACTTGGTTCCCCACGTGAAACTTGGTGACTGAAAATGTTTCAAATAGCGATGCCCCTAAAGGTTCTCGGTGAAAAATAATCTCGAAGGAAATTGCACTTTATTCAAAGTCATGAAAAAATAGAAATAAGACATTTCGGAAAAATTACACGTGTTCAAAGCCATTCAGACATAATATACCAGCAAGAGACTCCACATTTCTCCATTCAGTTGGTTTATAACCCCCGCTAGTTCGTTATAAGTATCTCATAAACAGTCATAGACCATAGCTACTAATATCAACAACTAATCAATCACAATAAGCATTGCCATCATCATCTCATCTCAATTGGAGTTACGAGTTACCCTCTGGTTATTTGTTACATAGATATAGATATATATATATCACCTATAAACCATAGTCCATAGTATCAGACTTATAAACCACAGTTATTTCAACTAGAGTTCACCAAATCCCAGAGTTAACCACCATAGTTAACCACCATTAAACCACCATTAAAGCACCAACTTTCTACAGATGGCCATCCCAAAAACTCCCAAGATCTCGCTGCTGAAACCTTGGCCCCGGTGGCTCGGAACTCGTCCCAGATCTGCGCTTGACGCTTCTGCAAGGTCACTGTGACCTTCGGCCGTGGGATTCTACAGGGGACCTCTACATGGGACCTGGCTTGGACCTCTGGTTTTCAAAGAAATATGGGTTAAATATGACCTATCTGATTAAATATGGTTTAATATAAATATAGGATAGTAGGAGAGTCAATAAAAAACCGATCTCTTCTGATTCTTCAAGTTTTGACCTATGACCGAAGATATTTTGAGCGATTTCGAGGTGGGGTTGGCCTCAGGAGTTTCAATTTTTGACCTAGTAGGATCCAGGCCCGGCCCAAATTCAGCTAGTGATAGGTCCATTTTGAGTGATGTGAGTCCACATGTAGTGATATAGTCCATTCAGCTAGTGAAACTTCAGCTAGTGATATCTCCATTTGAGTCCAACATGTTGGTTGGTTCCAATTCCCAGTGTCCAACTGAGCCAATCGAACTTTATACCACTTTTGACACCCTGACTCTTAGCAAAAAGGCCAAGCCTTGCTGACACATACCGACATCTGCAAGATGTTGGTCCATGGATATCACCCATGTTTGGGTTTGGATTGATTCAACGCTAGTATCAATCGCGCTATGGCTATTACCAGCATGGTAGTATTGATGTAGACTCGTATACTATTGTTATCGTTTATATCGTCAACATGTTGTGATGATATCCTATAATAACTATAATTATTGCATGAATATAGCATATAGCAAGCCAACAAAAATATAGAAAAGTTCGAAGCCTGGAAATATGAATCGACTATCATCTATATCTACCATCCGGGAAACACGGTTCTGTTAGTCTTTTTGGGCCTTGCTATGCACTTCTCCATGCCGTCACTAGGTGATCGATTCGAGTATGACGGAAAATGAACAATCTATTCTGGACCATATGATAAAACCAAGATAACAACCAACATAAACCAAGCATATCTGCAACATTGATATAACCAACCATATGATATCATCTGATATCATATGAGCTATGCCCAAAAACCATGGGAGAATCGACCCCCATCCGGATCATCCGGCCGTTTCAGCTGGCCATCTGCTCATCCATCCACAGCCGGGCCTTGTTGGGACTGACCCGACATCGTGTCTTTGGATGTTCGGGATCAATCTCATGAAGAAGATCCACCTGCGACGTGCTGGTCAGCAGGGTGGCCTGGGCCTACGAATCGGATCCATGGTTTATTTTTTGTATGAATATAAGCCATATAATCCATTAATGGTCTATAAATGTCTATAAGATTTTATAAGTGGGGATATTCCATTAATCTAACTTGGGGTATTAGAAAACCATCATCCAATTCCTGGAAATCATTGTCGCCACTCTGGTTTGAACTTCCCCCTGCCATTGTTTCAAAGGAGTCCCCAGCTGCAAATGGCGAAAAAACTCCCCAAAATCACAACGAAAACCTCTGGGTACTAACACATACTAACCCATACTAACACGAACCCAAAAATGGTTCTTGAAGTGCTATTTTTTGGGGGAACCTTAAATGGTAGGGCTACTGTTTACCCATTCCCCAATTCAAATAATCGAGGGCAACCATGGGCCGCCTCGAAGAGTGCAGGCGGCAAGTTCACCTTGACGATGGAACCAACAGACCAAAATGGAGGGAGAACCAACAGAAATGCAAATGGAGATAGAAATTGAAAGACAAAAATTGAAACATATCATTTAAGAATATGTGATGAAATCTTATAGAAATCTTTAAGTTTCTTCTACATCACAGCAATGAAAATGGTTCAGAAGTTGATATACGAAATAGCAAACCCACCGTGCAGTATGGCGGCCGTCAGTCCGAATGAGTTCGAGCCATAGCCCTGTGGGCATGATGTGAATGAATAGACTCTCAGATAAAGTGTCAGAAAGTGAGTCAGATCGAATGTCAGATGTCGGAATAGAATACCAGATGAAATGCTATAGAATATTACCCTCTGGTTATTTAACATAGCCATGGTATAGATGGCCCATGGAAATAGATGGTTTACCTATTAATAGCATGGTGAATTTCCATGGCTATGTTAAAAAATAACCAGATGGTATATGAATATGACAAATATGTCAAAATACCCTCTGGTAAACTAACATAGCTATGGAAAATCACCTTTATTAATGGGAAAACTCACTATAAATGGCCATTTTCAATAGCTATGTGGCTGTTTACCAGAGGGTAAATGTCAGTGGCCGGGGATCACATTGTTTTTTTCATTTCACCAGATCCCGACCATCGGCCTTGACATAGACATCGCAGATGGCCACAGACAAGTTCTTGGCTTTCACGCCTAGCGACGACTCATGTCACCGTCGCATTAAATGCCCGGGATCTCATCCAAAGGGTCACTGTTTGAGACCAACAAAAACAGCATTGTCCAACGCTGTTCCTATTCACTGCCTTGGTCTTCCAGTGAAAATCTGCAAGAATCTGCAAGAACCGATGGATTTACCATGACTTACCAGCCAAACTCACTGAGATTTTCCTGATTTCCATGTCAGATCCTGGTCTCTCCTGGTGAGCTCTCCCTCAGCCTGGAGTGGACAACACGAAGATCAGGCTGGTCTCATCCTCCCGCCAATCGAAAGGTATCCTTAGGCGGCCCAGATTGGGGTCGAAAAAAAAGGGCCCCTTTTTGAAGCTCCTGGGAGACCATCAACTACAATCAAAATTGGAGCAGGTGGCAATGCAGCTCGGAAAGCTCGCAGCTTCAAGGCATGATATATCTGTAGAGCGAAACTGGGATTACTCACACCAAAAGACTTTTGTTGGATGGAATAAAGTGGGAAACCCAATAAACCTACCATTTGGGGATGGTCGACAGAGCACCCATTTACAGTATGGTGATAACTTGGGGATTCTGAAAATGATCGGCTTTACCACTGGTTACTATGTAATTACATTACTCAGTTTCTATATATATCAGCTACGAGCACACTGAGGGATGGCCCTGTTCCACCAGCCAAGGCTCTGTGTGGGCATCGCGCGGCTTCGCTTCTTTCGTAGCGCTACGCCGTGGCCTTTCTCGGAATCAGCTGAGTGAAAGTCAATGGGAAGGATGACATCCCATATATGAAATGGAACATATCCCATGGAAAATATCCTTCAATCATGTCCTAAAATGGTAAAAATAGAGGGAAAGGGAGCTGGTATACCATCTATCATCAAACAAACCTGTTGTTAAAGGATTTATCAACCAACCAATGGGAAAAGGACATCTATGATTGGATTTCTATGGATTTCTCAAGAATGTTGTTTGCTTGCAAACCATCTCGCAGCTTGAGACCTATCTTCTGAGCGGTTGAAGAACAAAGCAAAGACTATTGCCAAAAATACATCTGCCATGTCTTCAATTTATAGTGGCTCTCGGGACAAACGTGGATCACAGGTCTAGTGCAAAGTTTGGAAAACGTGAAATCGTTGGGTGGGTCCATGTAGACCCTCCATAGGGCCCCAATTCCAAGCGGCACCTGATGCTGTCGCTCCACTGTGAGGGCTCGAGCACAATGGCTAAACACGAGCTGTGCTGGACACAACTTCATGGATTTGTTGTTTGGCACGAAACACCGAGTTTCTCATATGGGGATGGGTCAAAACCCTGGTACCTAGTGAACCCCAAAATAGCTGGTAAATGGATGTTCATCCCCCTAAAAATGGTATGTATAGGTATTGACCCATACCCATATTTCGCATCAAAACTGTAGCCCAACTGCGGTCCGAAAAAACCACAACTGCTATCCTTTTGGTGGCCACCACCGCCCCAACCGGCGACCTTTTCTCCCATCACTTGGCCGAGCCGTGGCGTCTGCACGCCTTGAGCCGCAGGCCTTGAGCGCATTCCTCCAGGAACTCGTGCGCCACATGGCCGTCCTCATCCTCAAAGAGCTGCCCTACGGCGTTGCGGCGTTGGGGTGAGACCTTGGAAGACCTTGGAAGACCTTGGAAGGTCATCCATGACTTTCCTACATCCCAAAAAATACGTTGGGGTTGAGATGACCATGATTTTCGTGACTAACTCAATGTCAACTGTCGTAGAGAAATCACCAGCAGATCTGCCTGCAGCCTCTAAAAGGTGCCTCTCACCCTTCTCCTGGGGGTGAAGTCCATGGGAAGTTGAGGGAAAAAATCGAGGAATTTACCAACTATGTAAATCAGGTAAAAAACTGGATCTGAAGGAGCAAATAGATGACTAGTAAAAAAAGGAGTCAACAAACACATTCGTATGTGACATTGATGAGGCTCAAGGGAAGCTTGGAAATATCTTGTTCTTTACTGTCGTGAAGCAATGCTGGGTTTTTGCTGGCTGTCCGACGGCACTTGGGGATCACCTTTTTGGGACATGGTCCCCTGGGGCAGGAGACTCACCCTCTGAACCACAAGAGGAAGGGGCGCGGAGATTGGAAGCGATCCAAATCCCGTGGTTCCAGGCGATCCAAGCGACCGTCAAACGGGGTCACGATTCGAACATACTGTTCCTATTTCTACAGAGCCCTAAGTTGATCTGCGCTTCGTTATCTTTAGTGGCTCTGTGAAGGGTATGATGAGTGTTCCTGCAAAGTCGTTGACAGATCTAGACATAATGAGTGAGGATCCCCAAACTCTGGGGAAGAACAATAAAGCAACCTGGACCTGCAAAGCATTGAACATGTTGATACCATTTAAAATTGAAGAGCCCAAGATCGGAGTTACCGCAAGAATGTTGTGGGCTGAGTGGTGGGGTGAACCCAGTGAACCCCGGATTCATCAAATTATGGCACTGGAAAATCCCCTATAAATCAATGGAGGTCTTAATGGCAAAATTCATCTACCCTCTGGTAAACTAACATAACTATGGAAAATCACCATTTTTAATGGGAAAATCCACTATTAATGGTCATTTTCAATAGCTACGTTAAATTACCAGAGGGTATAAAGGGTGGAATTTTCCAGCAAGCCATGTTTGATTGCCGGAGGGTTCTGTGCCTCAATGAATCAAGGTGTGCAAATCCGGGGATGACATTCGCCCAATATCATTGCTTGTCCATCCCGCCAACATGTTTCTTCCCCCCACATTTTGCTTCAGAGATTGAATAGATGAAATACTACACTTGGACTTCTAGAGTGTATTTGATACTATTTGATCTTGATGTTTTTAACCCAGTAATAAAACATCCCAGTAACCAACCATGGGGGGCCAGTTTAAATCATCACCAATACAGTAGGCCCAATAATAAACCTGGATCGTGGATGGTTTTATTAGTCTTGTTCTAAACAAATATCCCCCATGATTGATATCATATTATCCCCTATTATCCCACAAGTATTCCAGAATTATCCCGCAATTATCCCATATCTGCACATGTCAACGGGGACTTCCCACAAACAAGGTGTACTCTCTGGCAATCAAACACGGCAATGGGAAATCCTCTATAAATGGAGGTTTTAAAGGGAAACATCATCTATATCAATGGTGGATTAGTGGATTTTCCATTGCCACGTAACCTTTGATTACCGGAGGGTAAGTATTTCTACAAGGCCCAGGCTGTATCCTGGCTAAGCTCCTCGTTCTGCACGTAGATGAAGAGATGCTCGTTTTGTGGAGCCTCGTTCTGCCTGAGCCACAAGGGGATGATGCTGAAGGGTACCCTGGTCCAATGTCACAGGGTTGCATTGTTCAAAAGCCGAAATGTAGTCCCTTTATACTGGCTGGTTAAGTTATTGATTCTGATAATCCCCTATAGTGGATAGTACAACCCCATCAAATCACCAACCAACAGGGGTGGCTACGTAGCCACTGCGAGCAGTTGGCTGCACCATCCCAAGTCAGAAAAATAAGCTAAGGAAAAATTACAGTATCATAAAATCATCATCCCACAATTCATCCCAAAATCGGACCTGGTTTCTTCTTGGGTCAAACACAGGAAGCCCAGCGACTGCTCCCTCTGCTCCCTTCGAGCAGCTTTGATCTCCCTGAAGCGAGTGCGGACAAGATCGAGTCGTTATTGGGGAGCTTGGGATCTTCACATTCCAGGAGATCTTCCTTTCAAATTCTATGCTACTGTATGTGTATGTATATATATATATATACTGTATACAATTGTATAATATATACATATCAAGATTCAAGATATACATGTGCACAATATTTGCTCATGTGTTTGTCATATGGGTATGTGTCAAACTGATCCCACGGAAACCAACCATCTTCCATGACAAAGATCTTCCCCAAGGCTGTCCCATTGCCATCCCCAACCTCAAGTCATCTTGCGTCACCGCCCGTGCCATCTTCGGCCTTTGTTCCACCTTCGGTGCCTTCAGCGGCGGCTCCGGCGGAGCCGGCCGCGGCGCCGGCGGCGCCTGCGGAGCCGGCCGCGGCTCGGGGAAGGCGCGTGCCCCGCGCTTGGGGAAGCGGAAGAAAACGGTGATGCCTGAGACCGGTGGCAGTAGATGGGTATGGATCAAGTCATGAAAAGCCGCCAGACTCAGAAAATCTCATTGGTCACCCCATATTTTGGTCCGTACTGGCATCTTTTTTGGGGATGGGAAGAGAAAGGGTATGTCTTGATCCATTTTGAAGCCAACCTTCTCTGAATTTTTAATTGTTGGAGGTCATATTGCCAGCAAGAGTGGGGCGCTTGCCACCATTCGCGGGGATATAAGCAGCAAAAGCATGGAACCATTGACTTGCTACCTGAGCAACTCACCAAAGGCAGGACCTTGTGTATACCAATAATGATAACTCAGCAACAAGTCTTCACAGGAATTTGTTTTGCTTGTGCATTTGCCAGACACCTGCTGCACCCCGTCGGAGTGGATAATTTTGGAGGAGTTTGGCCTGTTTTCCCCCATTTAGGTATGGGTTGAAACATGTTGAAACCAATGGACCCCTTCTAATTTGGAGGGTGAATAATGATGAATATCCATTTACCAGTTATTTAGAGGTTCAGCAGGGTACCAGACTTTGACCCATAGCCATTCCAAACCCACCTGGCGCCCCCGAAACGCTCCAGGAAACGGTGAGGTTTTGCTCACTGCCGCGATTGTATGCATCTTGCCTCGGGTCCACTTAGCTCCCAGCGCTCCATCAGGGATCAAATGTGTCTTGAAAATCAGGGACCATCTTCGATCCCATGCTTCAAAATCTCACTTTTCCGATTTTCAAACTTGAAAAAATCAACAAATGGGGCAGGCTTGGTCAAAGCCTATAATATTGGCAGACACAGACCATCATGTTGGATTCTAGCCATTCTAACCCATTTTCTGAACGGTTAAAGTATTTACCCTCTGGTAATTTAACATAGCTATTGAAAATTACCATTTATAGTGGATTTACCCATTGAAAATGGTGATTTTCCATAGTTGTGTTAGTTTACCAGAGGGTAAATATATCAAGAGCCACCATACATACCCATGATTGCTGCTTCATGCCTCGCTTCCGAATGGATGATAGCCCAAAGAAAATTGCAGGTTTCGGGCACACCAATTCTTCACTTACTTATAGGTTAATAAGCCCCTAATGATTAAATAAATCCCTTCATAATACCCCTTATAGGATAATAAACTTAGATAAATCATGATAAATCCCTTTACAATATGTGTATATATATATACCCTTATGTTATAATTAAATCCCGATTTGTTGCTTAAATCACTGAAATCTCTAGGAGTATTGTTGGTTAAACCCCAATGTTTGTGGGTGAAAATCCCTAAATCTCTAAAACCCATGTTTTTTTTTTGCTTTTTCATAGTTAAAGTCCGAAGAAATGGGTACATCCCAAGTCTTCATTGGAAAATTGCACCGCCAGGTGGCGCCAGTCGTCCGGGCGCCCGTTTCTCCTGGCCCCGCAGCTGATTCAAGGCTTTCGCAATCTCCTGATAGTCAGATGGTGCCCTCCATGATGGATTTGGGTCTGAAAATCCCACCTGGCTCCATTTACAGTAGGGAAAATGATAATGCTGACATTTGCTATCATTTACCATTTACATCCATTTACTATATCTGGATGAATCAGAACAAAGTGGATAACTCATAAAACACCCATGACTGGGAATAGTAAGCATACCACCTATTTATGGTGACATTGGGGATAGTTTATTATTGTTTTACCAGCATTAATTCACCCTCCCGAACTTGCGGCCCACCACTGGGGGATTTATAGTTAGCCCCACTCATCATCAACCAGGGACGTCAGGTGAGGAAGCTGGGAAAATAGTTCATGGAATTCCCGCAGCTACACCTACTATATACAAATATGAATGTCCAATGATGTTTAAATGTGGGTTTGGGGTGGAAAAGTAAGGTGAGATGATAATGGGCTGGGCATTTGGAAACGAAACTTTGGGCTTCACCAATCAAATTTCATGGGAAGTCGATCAGCAAAAATGGGAAGTCAAGTACCAAAACCCGGAATGTAACCAACAAGAACGGATCTAATCTATAAAGAGTCGTATAGGACACAGTTCAATTGTTGTGTATGAAATTAAATTGTTAGTGGATCAACCAAATCGCTGCTCAAATCAGCCTAAGATTGGGAGCAGTGAACATGCCGAAATGCCGACTGTTCAAGTTTACAAACCTCGTAGGCCTGAAATCAGCACAGATCAAACCATCGTCAACACGAAAGTGAGTGACGAAGGTGAGCATGGGTCAACAAGCGCCTACACCCCTCATTCTTGAAAGAGACTGAAACACCAAGAATTGGACATACCCTCTGGTAATTTAACATAGCTATTGAAAATGGCCATTAATCGTGAGTTTTCCCATTAAAAATGGTGATTTTCCATAGGTTTTTTGTATGTTTTGCCAGAGGGTACCTGAAATTTCGCCTCAGCCATTGATCGGCACCTCTGAACTCATCACTTCTGAGATGCCATCGCCTCGGAGACAGTTTCCGAAGTCCTGGGAAAGTACCCCAAATTCATCCCAACATGGGTGATTTTTTTTATAGGAAAACCACTGGTTTTGGGGGGGTCCCCATATTTTGGTACCCTCTGGTAATGACTAACATAGCTATGGAAAATCACCATTTTTCATGGGAAAATCCACTATAAATGGTAATTTTCAATAGCTATGTGGCTGTTTACCAGAGGGTAAACCCCCAATATCAAACCTGGGAACAAAAAAAACCACTCAGCTTGCAGTGCGGCTACAGCCTGACCCATTGACCCATCCCCACTACCGGATGGGACTCCACACAGTATAGCGCCAAGGCTGTGTGACTTGGCTCCAGGGACAAGACATGAACCTGGCAGCGGAAGCAAAAAAACCCAGGGACCCTGTTTTCCATCCCATGGAATAGGTTGGTCAAGAGGTACCCGGTTGCGTAAACATACAGTTCGATGTGGAAAACCAATGGTTTCCCTAGAAAAATGATCTACAAATGGTGGGTTTTCCACATCTATATGTTATATAGTTTACCCCTATAGGGTATCCCGTGAATCATGGCTTGGCTCACAAGCCTCAATAAACAGGGTAGGTCAATCCACAGTATGACCAACCAAGCAGGATATTTTCGCTAAGCCGCTAGGCGTAAGATCACATGTCTGGGCAGAGGACAGATGGAACTCTCCCAAAAAGACGAAAATGGGAACCCCTGCTCTTGTGATTGGAATGCCTAAGAATCACGCATGTCTAAGCATTTCTGGCTTCTTTGAGTGCTGCTGTACGTGATACCATCTTCAAATCGTGACTCATGGGATTGAAATTCATCCACCCGAATACATGTTGCCGTCAATCCCTGTCAGTTGCTGTTCATCTTCCCATTTTCTTGAGGAAAAATATCAAATCAGTTTAGTGGTTTCTACCAATCCAAAAGTTCACTATCCGTCTCAGCAAAACAACTAGAAGGTAACCCACCTGCCTCAGGTTTTGCACTTACCATAGGTTTCAGTTCGCGATTTCCCAGCCTCGGTGACTCGGTGCACATGAATTTCATCAGCGACGCGGATTTGACACGGATGCCGCCCAGCCACGCACGCGAAAAGGGCGAAGTGCTGGGAGGAGCCAAGGTGCAGCCCAAGCCTTGTGCCATCTGAATGCGATACTCCTGCCACGGTCCACGACATGACTCGGGTGCAGTTCATGGAGAAACAGCTCCATAAAGATGTCGGTTCCTGAGTCCAGTGATGTGCAACACCCACAAATGCAGGGCCGCACTAGTGCCAAATCATTTTTTTTTAATGGACCAATCCCAATTCCATTGGATGACCCTCAATCATCATCACCATCATCGTCATCGTTCCCCATTCGTAGATCCAGCTTTTGGACAAACCCATATATGGTCACCGACAGAATTATGGAAAAAAAAAAACGTTCAACTTAGACAGGCGGCGCCTGCGTCCGATTTTTCCATAATTAGGTTTTTCCCCATAAGGGTTCAAAATATCCCGGAAGTGATCCGAACCTTTTTTTTTTCCATAATTCTTGGAGGTGGCCATTATTTCCATAATTGATTTTTCCTGTAAAATCAGGGGGCTAGGGCAGATTGACCGGTTTTTCCATAATTATTTTTTTCCATAATTATTTTTTCCATAATTATTTTTTCCATAATTAATGTTTGGGGCTCCACCTGTTGGACATGTCATGGATCCACAATTCAAACCCCTTTTTTTTGGGGGTTATGGAAATATGTATGCAAATGCAAGTATGTAGTATCAACCCAATTGGTGGCAGGCTTTAGGGGCATATACCAGATCTTTAGACACATATTTTCTATAATTCAATATTCCCCTTAAAATGCATTCAAATTGCGAACATCACATGATATTATGTATATCAATGGAAGACTTAGGGGCATATACCAGATCTTTAGACACATAATTTTATAATTCAATATTCCCCCTTAAAATGCATTCAAATTGCGAACATCACATGATATTATGTATATCAATGGAAGACTTAGGGGCATATACCAGATCTTTAGACACATATTTTCTATAATTCAATATTCCCCCTTAAAATGCATTCAATTTGCGAATTGATGGACATACAGTCACCGACAGAATTATGGAAAAAAAAATAATTATGGAAAAAATAATTATGGAAAAAAAAAAGGTTCGTAACTTTTCTATCATAGACAGGCGGCGCCTGTAAATTGAAACGTTTTATTTTTTTCCATAATTCTGTCGGTGACTGTACCCTAAATTGTTGTTTGTATCCACAATATGATGTGCTTAGAATCAACAGCCACTTGATATCATGCTGCAAACGGACGAACCCAGTCCCTGATTCCCGGCTCACGAGTTCTCAAGGCTTATCAAGGGTAGTAAAGCCCCCAGCCGATCATCCAACCATCATTTGTCAGTTGTATCCCCATAGCATGGTAAAAAAGAATCCTATAGATGCTGCTCATTTCGCCATCAAATAGCCAATCAACATAAAGATATGCTATTATTGTATACATATATATATATACATATCGCATAATATACTCCCATATATCAGAATGTTTGAATAGCTCATCTACCAGAAATGTCAAATCTATGTATATACAAATCCTTGTTTAGTATGGCCACCTATAACCATCAACCGGAATTGATCCAACAGAAGAAAATCATGTTCTTGATCAGTTGTTTCCCATTCTATAGCCATCTATAGCCATACTATGCCCCTATTACAACAACTGAAAGTCATTACTATACCCCATTCTATACCCATACTATACCCCATATTTCATGAGTTTTCCATGTTAAAGTCATTGTTCCAACTGGAAAAAAAACTCCTCTGGCGCTCCTTGAGACGCTGTTCGAACTCCGCCGAGGCAACCTGGGATCTTTTTGAACAAAAAACCATCGGACTGTTATATAGTTGTGTATATATATTATAAACCAAGGTAAATATATGCTGGGGATATGGAAATTTATGAAATATTACCATTATACCAAAAATTTGGCGAGAATACCAAGGTATTGTGGGGGGAAATTTGACGCAATTTATACCGAAGCAACACATGTTTCAGTGGTTTGTTCTCGCTGGGATTTAGGGATCCCCAAAAAGATCATGTCCCAATATGTCCCGATTTTATAACTGGTTGAGTCACATTTTTCATCTGCTTGGTGGTTGCTGCTAACCCTTCTGAAAAATGATGGAGTTCGTCAGTTGGGATGATGACATTCCCATATATTACGGAAAATAAAAAATGTTCCAAACCACCAACCAGTCATGAATAAATCCAAGGTGTTTTTTCCTTTAACCCATCAGTTCCAATGTCGCAGTGTCCGAGTTGCGTGGCGCACTCCAGGCGCTACCTCCAACAATTGTCCTCCGGCCTTCCTTGGGCACCGGGCTATGTAATGATTGTAATGGGGATATGACATGGGGATATTGTGAAGATAAGTATAGTTTCGTGATGTTTTTTTCATAGTCTACCTATTTACTTTGTTTCATGGGGATTTATTAAGTAAAAGTTGTTAATCAAAGAAATCGACTTGGAAATGTGTATACAATGACGATTCATGATGTTTTCTCATGAATAATTTAGTACAAAGATATATATATATATGTAATTGATATATCAATTGGTATATATTACGGGATATGGGACAATGTTATCTTTAGAGCTGATAGTTGCCAATTTTTTATGGGTAGTGGTAGTGGGGATTTTTGAGTTCTACAAGTATGGCAATTCGGCCACTGATTACTGGTTGGTGGTTTGAACCCCTCTGAAAAATATGAGGTCGTCAGTTGGGATGATGAAATTCCCAATATATGGAAATTCATATAGCAGCCATGTTCCAAACCACCAACCAGATTAAGTAGTGTTACAAGTAGGACGCAGCCTCGTTTTTAAGGGTCGTCCCCATCGCCAAATTCCAACTGGCCCCTGGTGTTGGAGTTGATCTGCCAAGATCCCCCCAACATCCCCAGCATCTCGGGTCTCTCCGATGTTTCTCTCCAACCTTGAACTACCGTTTGGGTGTGTCTGAAAATAAGGTATATCCCCAACTATTCAGTTTAGTAGTGGTGGTGATGATGATGATGATGATGATGATGATGATCCAACGAATTGTTGGGTACTGTGTTTCCAAACACACCCATGTGATTCTTCATCATCCCTGGCTTCAAACGAAACCAAAACCCCCATCTGGCCATCTGGGCCAATCCGAAGAAAGTATCCCGACTATTGCTGGTTATATCTGCATCATATTCATATTCTTAGTTGATGTGATTTTTAGCTTTTCTCCATGATTGTTAGTTGATGTTAGTTACATACCTCCCATTCTTAAATATCGTTGATGCTAGTTTCATGGCTTTAGTGGATATTTTCTGATATTTTTTGTATGATATTCCCCCATATTCCCCCCATGTTTTTACGGCGTTCGGGGCCATCTAAAGAACGCCCCAGCTGCTGAATCCGCTCTTCCTCCATCTCCATGTCGGCTTCAAAGGCGCTGAAGCCCCCCTGGTCGCCCTCGCAGAGCAGAGCGCCGCCAGAGCCCAGTTGCGCCAGCCACAGCTTCCGACCCACCAGAAGGGCCAGTTGTACGCAGCACCCGGAGCGATCCTGATGGTGGCTGGGGAGGGGAGGGCATGAAAAATGATGAAGCAATGGTGTTTTATAGGGAATCAATGGGATTTTAGAAAGAATTCTATGGGATTTGATAGAAATGAAAATGGAATGGGATGTTATAGGGCTGAAATGTTTTTTTTTACAAATCTATATAATTGTGATTTAACCAACAACAAGGGGAATATCATCGGAATGGAATGGGGATATAATAAGATTTACCCTCTGGCAGTTTAACATAGCTTTGGAAAATCGCCATTTGTTCATAGGTAAATCATCTACAAATATAGCTATGTTAGATCACCAAATGGTAGTCAGCCAAAAATAGGAGGATCACTCCCCAACGGGTGGATAACTTGGATGTTCCCCTGGTCAAAGTCACCACATTCACCCCGGTTAAGGGGTCCTCATAATTTCCAGGATCATTCCAGAGTCGGGAAGGCCGACACTATCAGCAGATTCATGAAGCAAGCCAAGTGCACATGTAATCACGTCTGGGTCAGATCTAGTTCCAGAGGAGGACCCAGGGGATGTTGTTTGGAATTTGTGACCTACAAGTATGATCATGTTAAATCCTGTTTCCCTTCACGCTAGAAACCTATCAACTTATCAACTCACCAAGCCCTCCACGAATCGAACTTCGGAGTTTCCGTGCGAAATTTGCTGACGAACTCTTGGTCTAAGTCCGCCAGGGCTTGAACCAAGCTGTCCTTGATCCTCAGACGGACAGCCAGGACTGCCCCGGAGTGCCCAGAATTTCCGAGCTCCGAGGGCTCCGAGGGCTCCAAGTTGGGGGTGATCACAGAAACCTCCAACTCATACCTTCATGAGTTGAATCAGATTACTGAAGCCAGGATACCCAGTTTCCTTGGGTCTATCATGTATGGTTGTAACACACCAGTCTTGGGGTTGGTTGCCACATCAATCCAGGATCATGGGAAGAAAAACACGGGCTCCGATGGAGTGAGCATTGTTTTAACATCTATCTTCAGGATGTGTACCCAGGTAAGGTCCCAAATGCACACGAGAGACTGTCAGAGATGGCATTGGTATCACAATACCAGTTCCAACCATGTGGCAGGGAATCTAGACCTTACTATCATCAAACAACCATGTTGAACAAAACAGAATCGTTTTTCTGATTTTGTGGTTGTTTTTGGGTGTTCCAGGAATAGTCGGTTGCATATCTCTGAGACCCAAAAGGCCCCCGGTGTTCCTACGAAGGCCGAGTGTCTGTTCCTCTGTGGTGGTTTTGCAGAGTCGTGGCAGCAGTTTCTTGTGGAAATTTTGCGCTGAAAACTCGGAGCACCTGAGACGGATCTGAGATCGAACCCGAAAACCAAGAGAACTGCAGTTACAAAGATATCTGTATATATGATATGATATGATATGATATGATATGATATGATATGATATGATATGTGAATATATGGGGAAAATGTGTATGTATATATATATATTATATATATATATACATGTGCAGGGGACTATTGGGTTGGGGTATATTTCGCGCCTCTTGGAACAGTTCCTTTTTGCCGCCAAAGTCATGAAGTTGAAGCCCGGATAAATTCGGCACATGGAATGGTCAAAAACATGTCAAAATGATTCTAAACTAACAACCCGAGCATTGGTAGCAACTCTCATCACAACAAGATGAACCATTATTTTATCGTGGTGACAATTATGACATACTTTGACCGCATGCCAAAACAATTTCAAAGGATGAAAAACCATGTAAGGCATACATTTGACGCCGAACCTGATTAGGTACAGAAACTATAGCCAATATAGGTGCAATCGATTGGTTCTTACATGTGCAATGTACCTGGGTGTTGCACCGCTAATAGTAACACTATTGTTTATCTGGAATTTGTTTTTCACGTGGTTGGTTCTCCACGTTGCATGTGGCTCAAAAACACAGCGCCGCGCCACGTCATCTGAAATGGCACATGTTTTCCTCTGAAAACACGAACACGGTAATCTATCGAAATCATCCCCCATGTATAGCCCGCTAGATGCATTGGGGCCGAGTCTATACAGAATAGCCTGGTATAACCTGGAATGGCCACATTATGGGCGTGTATAAAGTAGAAAACCAACATGTTTTGGTTCTAAAGTCACAAGCCAACGCTGTATAAAGTCGCCTGGCCACGTAAAAACATAAAAGTCGATGTTGGTGTTTGAGGGTATTTGTGAACGTTTCCCATTACTATAAATTGAGATGTGCAACATCCAAGCAATAATGCTTGTGTCGAACAGTGGTACTATAACATGGATTTGCCAGTAAACAACGATCGTTGTAATATCGATGGTGCTTTTCATCACGCCGATGAAAACATCGACATGACTGTGTATAAAGTTGACGGGCCACGTTCGAATTGTGGGGGAATATCATCGATCTCATCGATGGGGAACCCAAAAAACATCGAAACCGAATGAAACCCACAGCCAAACAAATATCGATATCGAAGTCGTTGACAACATCGATTTTGTTTTTTTTTTTCAGGGGTGTAACCCGGCCAGGCCACTTTATATTTCTCTGCTCGGGAGCGGGTATAAAGTGATCCAACCAACATCGATTTGGTTTTTTTCAGGAGTGTAAAGGCCACTTTATAGAAAGGGTTTAAGGGGCTCGGCCTCTGCAGACGGTGTCAGGTGACGAGGAGACACTTTGTGGTGTACTTGGGGGCGGACGATTTCAATTTCCATGTGTTTTTTGTTAGCATTATATATTTTTGGTACCTGTGCGCTTCCATTTTGGGAGCACTATGGGCGGCGCCAGAATCACTTGGACATGCCGTTTGGATCACTTGAACATTAGGGATCACTGAGAGTCTTGTAGGGTCACCTGAACATGAGGTTGCGGATCACTTGAACATTAGACACTTAGACACCCTTCACACCTTTAGGGTTTACCCCTTAGGGGACAGGGGGGCGGGGACATGGGGACATGGGGGCACCAGCAAAACAAGCACATTTCATCATCCTTTTCACCTTTAGGGTTTGACACCTTGGAGTTTCGCTTGCGAAGATCATCCAGATAGATTCAGGTCAATCCGAAATAGGTCCACCAAACTGACATCCTGCCACTTTTTCAGGGACATGCTTCCTCCAGCAAGGGAAAAACACACCATTTGAAAGAACGAATGGGACAGTGGGACACACCAGAACGTAAGATGTGCCTGAGGTGTAGCAGGTACGAATTCAATAAACGGAGCCCGTCTACGATGCCTCCTATCTGGATAAGGTTCACTACGAAAATCGACCGATTTGACAAGAAGTCCTTCAAGATCCTTTTGAAGAAAGGAAGTAGTAGTATGTAGTGATGTTAAAGCAGATCCTACTGAAGTTTTCAAGGCCCTTCCAAGAAAAAAAGCACATGTTCGGTCGCGGTGATTCTTGGTAGACCCGCTGATCGATCTGCAACGCTTCACGGTTGCATTTTGTGGCGAAACACCTTAGGTTCAGCTAAGTTCTAATTGGCGGTGGGTTTCCTTCATTAAGAACTATTCTGTTTTGGTTCAACTTTTGAGCTAATGTCTGTGCCTTCTATCTTCATCCGTTTCCCACCGAACTGGAGAAGAAAGCAAGCAGCGATTCAATCTCACCAGTGGGACACACCTGCAAATTTAAATCCAACGGGTGTCTTGACATATCTTGCACTCAAATGCACTCAACGTAATGACAATAGAATGATGGTGTTTTCATTTGGTTGCTTGCTGTATTGCACAGGCCCAACCTTCAGATTCGCAGGCCTTCATCCCGAATTCGAAGCACCTTTTTGTGCCAGCAAACCTGACGGCTCAGATCTGGAAGTGAGTGGCATCGTCCACGTCCTCTGGGTAAATTTCCGGGACTCAGTGCCGGACGCGACGGTAAAAAAATGAGTTCATGTTTTGACAGTAATCTCAATAAGTACGGCTATTCGGGGACAAATGCAAACACTTTGCTTCACAGGCAAAGTCTGCAACACTTGCACCGGCAATGATCGAAATCTTGAAGCCAGCTTTTGTGAGGGTTAGTGGCCCCGAACTAAGAAAGAAATCCAATGACCATAGGTGCAAGGACTAATGGGCTTGAAATCAAAGCGCTGCAAAGTAGAGCTCCATGATTGGATACATCTCAACAATGACAACCTCAGTACCAAGTCATTCTTGATTGATTATAAAGCCCAGAGCGCTAAATGTCCCACATTTTGTGCCAATTTATGAGGGGCTTGGCGGCCGGCCATGCCATTGGTAGCTAATTTCTCTCTTGAGAAATCCATATTGTTGACAGATTTTGGTGTTGAGCCCCCTGCAACCAAGCGTCTCATGTTCCTCAGGACAGCGTTCTCACTTTCCAGCCATCGAACCTGCGCAGTCACCTGATGTTCAAACAGCTTTAGCTAGTTTTTTTCCACCGAACATGCTGGCGGCGCGCTATGTGCACTCACTATGCAGCAGTTTGCCCCCACACAAGCATTGAAAAACTAGACGACAGCGTGACCCGAAAGAAAAGCAGGAGAGAGTAGGTCACAAGAGGATGGAAAGGAAGATATGATGACACGACGGATGTTTTACAGTTATGTTGAAAAATTCCTGCATTAGACATAGAACGCTCCATACAGCGCGTTAACAATATAGGAAGTATGACATCCTATGAAGGGAACAATATAATGTTTACGTGATACGCGCCACGTCGAAATTGGATCGGATAAACTTTCGCCGAAAATCAAAAAATCACAAATGGATAAAATAGTGCCGCAACGTGAAATGACTTCTGAAATGATTGAATGAGTTCACTCGCACAAAGCCCACATCCTTTTTGACACGCCTCAGAGAGCGCTGGGGGTAACACATCTGAGTCTCAAAGCAGCATCACATTCCCTTCGGATTGAAGCTGTATTTCCATCAAGACAAGAAAAAGGAGGATGCACATTGCTTGGAGCATCCACCCCCCTACGGGGAAATCAAAACTTGCAGGCGCAGTTCCAAGGCAACAATGGAAGCCTGGCAAGCCACAATAAATTGCCTGAGGTGGTGTCGAGCCAATTGTAAATGAATATCAAGGTTGGAGAGATCATGGCCATGATCTTCAAGGGTATCTCGGCATTCGTCTAAGGCAAATAACAAGCTCTGGCAGGTCCACTTCAGAAGCATAAATTGCTGCAATTGGCTAAGAAGTACTTGAACATGACCCCTTGACAACCTCCTCATAGCTCTGATCGCCACAGAGCAGCCAGAGAAAGCAGGTAATGAAACCGGCGGTAAATCCACTCAATGCAGCAAGAAGATAATGAACACGAGAATATGAGTGCTTTGGTCGCAATGATTCAAATAGAATACAGCCCCGAGCCGCTGCAGACATATGGAGTTTGAAAATCCAATTTGGTGTGGGCGGGAGGGTTGAGGACTTTCAGAAGGACCAAAAATTTATTTGGTCCCCACCCACCCACCACCTTGAGACGTAAAAACACACGTACATAAACTTGAACGTGCTCAAACCTTGAAACAACAATGAGTGGATTTTCAGATTTGTGCGTGTCGTTAAAAAACTTTTGATGCACTTCACATGGAGGTTAGGAGACACTCTTGATTTGTGCGTGTCACCTGAAACAAAAAAACAAATAGGGAATTGGACACTTCTCGATTTGTGCACTGCCCCAAGTAATGTTGCAAACCGCAGTTGCCAAAAAGGGTTTATATAAACCCTTATATATTGCAAAAAGGGAACTTAAGATCCCAAAGCAATATATATATATATATAACAAGCGCGCTACAACACCAAACGCTGGCAACACCCAGGGCGAAGAAGCGCGGGGAAATGGCAAACAATCGCGGAGAGTAAAAAGGGAAAGGAGCAGAGCAAGAGGAAAGGAAGCATACACAGAAGGAATTTTAAAAGCAGCATCAAGTACTGCTGAAGTCAACTAAACTGTAAAACCTTACGAACCTTCGGTTCAGAACAGGCGAATGATGATGAAAGATAATGAAGGATGAATGAAGTTGTTGATGCACGGTTCTGGTGACGCGAAATCACACATTTTTCCAGGCAAAACTGCTGATTATGAACTCATGTTAGCCTGAAGATGACGCCAGTGAACCGCGACTTGCAACGTCTGAATCAAAAAAGCCTACAAGTCTCAACAAGCCTAGGGTTCACAGCCAGCACCCCAGTTTGTTCCACAAACACAGTTGAAACACAAACTTATTTCCTTTATGCAAAAAAAACACACACAAAGAAACCTTTACACACAGATGCTTGTCCTTTACACAGAGCAATTTTTACACACAGAAGCCTTTACACACATATGCTTTTACACAAAGC